GTGTGTGTGTGTGTGTGTGTGTGTGTGTGTGTGTGTGTGTGTGTGTGTGTGTGTGTGTGTGTGTGCTGAAGGTCAACAGACGATCATGCTAAGCTTGCTAACTGTTCCACCCTCTGACTGCTGCAGGGGCGTGTCTTAGAGAGAGGCTTTTATACCAGAACACAGCCGCTGTGACGAAACCGTGGAGAAGACACGTCACAGCGGAGAGCCATTAACCAATATGCAAATTAGCCTGCAGTACCACTGCTCTACCCRTGTGAGCAACAAAAAGACGTTTTTAGACCAAATRTTACAGATTTGAACAAATACACACAAAAACATCAAAATTAGCACAGAAACAGTACTATATAACATTTTAGACACATTCTAGACAGTATATCAGCTAAAAAAAAGTTAATTTTGGGGTAAGTTACTCTTTAAGCCGGGTACACACCGGATGCGTTTTGAGCAGCCACAGCAGCCAGTTTACATGCAAAGTCTATGGGGGACACGCATCTAGGAGCAGCGCGGCGCGTTTTGCCAGTTAGCGTGGCGCGCAAGGTAGCGGTAGGATGCGGCAGAGCGTTTTCCGTGCATGCGGCACGTCCAAAGCAGCCGCTGCTGGAGTTCAACAAATTGAACGTTTGCTGCTTGAAGCACCGTAGCAACCAATCAGCTAGAATCATTTTTCCATGTGATGGTTTCCTGAACCCAAAACAGACGGACAGCAGCTCTTTATCARCCGTCTGCAGTTGGAGTTCTGGCTGGAGATATCAGCATCGAAATGGGCCCGCGGCTCGTTAAACTGACCGCTGTGTTAAACTGGGCTCGGGACAAACAAACAAACAAAAAAGTCTGTCAGCTCACAGCTCCTGGAGTGGTAAAACTAACCGAACAGACCGCGTCTAAATTATCTGGTAAATTAATTATTTGCTGTGCACGACATTCGCTTGCTCTTTAGTAAATAAAGCAAAGCCATTTTCTTTATCTTTGGGTAGTGACTGGAAGAACGAGATCGCGGATACAAGCGGCCGAAATGAGTTTCCTCCGCAGGGTGTCTGGGCTCTCCCTTAGAGATAGGGTGAGAAGCTCAGTAATCCAGGAGGAACTCAGAGTAGAGCCGCTGCTCCTCCACGTCGAGAAGAGCCAGTTGAGGTGGCTCATTTGGTTAGGATGCCTCCCTAGTGAGGTGTTCCAGGCACGTCCCACTGGGAGGAGGCCCAGAGGAAGACCCAGGACACACTGGAGGGACTGTTTCTCAGCTGGCCTGGAAACACCTTGGGATTCGTCCAGAGGAGCTGGTCCAAGTGGCTGGGGAGAGGGAAGTCTGGGTCTCTGTGCTTAGGCTGCTGCCCCCGAGACCCAACCCAGGATAAGCGGCAGAAAACGGACGGACGGACGGAAATTTTTTTGTTATTTTATATTTATTTCACCCGTCATTAAAGACAGACCGGAAAAACTAAGACGCTCCTCCCTCTTCAGATGTGCATCTAGTCTGCTGCTCGTTCACACCAAATGCGTTTCAGTGCGTCCAACTGGAGGCGTTGGGAGCATTTTTGCTGCTCAAAACGTGTTTGGTGGGAACTCTGTTTTAGTCTCTCCGGCCTGTCCTGGGTATTTCCCAGGATTGGACAGCGGTGTCCAGAGGGCATCCTTACCAGATGACTGAACCACCTCAACTGGTTCCTCATGATGTGGAGGAGCAACAGATCTGTATCAAGTCTCTCCTGGATGACTGAACTTCTCACCCTACCTCTGAGGGAGAGTCCGGCTACCCTGTGGGAAAGCCCTTTTCGACCTCCTGTATCTGCGACTTCGTTCTTTTGGTTACTACCTAACCCTGAGGTGAGAGTAGGAACGTAGCCTGACAGGCAAACAGAAATAAAATGTCAAATTCACATGTATAAATCAGAAACGTGTTTGATTGGTCTAACCTGAGCTTGTAGCTCCAAGAAAACCAGTCTGTCCCCAATCTCTTCAGACTGCTCCTGGGTCTGCTGCTGAGCCTGAGCCTCCCTCTGGTCAAAGTACCTGACAGCTGAGACCAACTCAGCTGGATCAGGTCAGCAGACATGGTTTTTTATTATTAGTTTTCCTTTTTAAACATATACCATAGATCAACATGGGTTGAGTTGGACAGATAAAAATAGTCCAGTTGTTAATGTCTGTGAAAGGTTACCGTCGGTGCCGTTGAGCTGGATCCTCACCGCCGAGGGCAGAAACTGCTGCCACTTTCTCCTCATGACGAGGTAACGCACCAGCAGCTGCTCGCACAGCAGGGAGCGCTCCAATGCCGTGGAGCTGCACGGGTACATCCCAAACAGGAAGCGCCACGCTAGGCCTCGCTCAGAGGGACAAACGCCACCTGAACCGGGACGGAGAAATTTAATCATTCCTTAAAATCACCCTTAAATGCTGGTTTGCTTGAGTTCTAATCCTGCAGTGGAACTAGACCGGAACTAATCCTGAATGGGAATAAAAAGGAAAATTATCTTTGAAACTGTGCGAAAAAAATTCAATCAAGACCTTAGTTTGAGATAAATAAATGGAAATATTGTTGCACAGTGTGTTCTTAAACCTTTCATTTACCTCCGCGTGGAGCTTAAGGTCAGTGAAGCCATAAAAAAAACTGAGGGAAAGGAGGTTAGTTTCCACATTCCTGCTCACAGACATGTGATGTTGCTCCCCACAAAGAACTTTTCATGTCTTCTGGATGTTTCCTGTTAAATCTTTTCAAACCACATCAAAAATCCCCCCTCAGATGTCTAAAAAGGACTTTGTTGTTTCAGCTAGAAGTCATGTTTATTGCCTCGGGAGTTTTGACGTACAACAAAATGATTTATTTTTATGAGAGAATAGACTAATTGTGGCTCAGCTCCAGTCCTGAAGCAAAGCATCACTTGACTTGGTCTTAATGGGGCAGAGATTACACACTCACAGTGCACTGATGCATT